TCCAATCACGAGTCTTTAACTTCTAAGTTTGATATTATTTCTAATGAGAATATGATCCTTAAAGAAAATAATAAGAAATTAAAATTGGATCATGATTCTTTTCTTTCAAACTTTGCTAAGTTAACTCATGAAAGAGATAATGCCATACTAGAAGTAGTAGCTATTATAAATGAATTTGATAACCATATATGCTCCACTTCTATTATCAATGATGTTGTGCATAATGATGATTTGAATCTTGTTAAGGAACGCATATCATGCTTAGATTCAACTTTAAAAACATGCATTGATAACCATAAGAAACTTATGGACAAGTGTGCTAAATCTAGTGCTAAAAAATCACCTACAAACTATGCACACTTGTATAGCAAAGTTTATAAATGCTCCATTTGTGGTCGTAAAGGTCATTTAGCTAAATTTTGCTATAATGCACAAAAACATAAGAATGTTAATCCTTCTTGTGCATCTCATCAAGTTTCTTCATCACATGTATACACACATGCACCTATTGCTTATCATAAGCATGCTCACGTGTATCATTGTGATTTTTGTGGTAGAGTTGGTCACTTAGCTAAGTTTTGTTTTGATTTGCGAAAAGTTTCTAAATCGCAAAATATTTCAAGTAGACCAACATTGTTTCAAAATGTTTCTCATTTGCAAAATAATCTTAAAAGACCATCTTTATTTGCAAATGTTCCTCGTACACATCCACATGGTCTACATAATCAAATGCATCCTCTTCATTGTACTTATTGCAATCGAATGGATCATTTGCATAATTATTGCTATGACTGGACCCGTGCACTAAATGCGCCAAATGGGTTCATAACCCAAGGGCTTTGAGCTTTAATGATAGGGGTCATGTCCCTAAACAAACTGGCACCAAGAATACTTGGGTGCCAAAATAATTTTTTAAGCCAAGAATTTTAGTACTTTTATTTTTCTTTTTCTTGGTTTTGAAAAACATATTTTAAACTTTTTATGAAAACAATTCCTTTTATTGGTCAAACTCTTTTGTTTTCATGATTATTAGTTTTGTTTTGATGAGAGGTTTGTACTTATATAACCCTCCGAATTTATTGGGTGTTTATTCCCAAATTTTGTTTACCGGGTGCTAAAATATTTATATGGGTTGTTACTAGCTCAAGAGCTAGATATGGTTGCCTCTCATGATTTTTTGAATCAATGATGATTTGGTCTTACGTTTTTGGATTTAAACTTTGATTTATGATTTTATTGGTTGATTTGTTTTCATTTGAAAAACTTTTTGCATGACTCTCATGTTCCTCTTCTTTTGATTTCATAAATCTATTCTTTTTAATGAGACAATATTTTCATATTGAGATATTTATATGTGTTCTCGTTATCTTTTTGTATGTGAGTGATATTTAGCATATTCATGTATGTTTGCTCACATGTTTGCCATGATCCTTTTATTGCTTATATTCTATATGGCTTTTTGATAGGGAGAGCAATCCCTATATCTTTCTATGTGTTATACTCACCCATGCTTATTGATAGGCGGAGCTTTCGCTCTCTTTCATCTATATAGTTTTCCCCTTTTTGATGTTGTCAAAGGGGGAGAAATATTGTGAGTATATTCTTTCTTATTTATATGCATGATATATTATACCTTGAATATTCATTTCTTCTCATGCATATATCCTTTTTGTAAATTGTTTGTCGTCATCAAAAAGGGGGAGATTGTTGGCCTTCTTGTTTTGATGATGTTTAACAAACAATTTACTTCTAATGTTGTTTATCTAGTATTTGTGTTTTGTATTTATTCTAAGCAAACAACATGTTGGAGGATGGATGGAATCGAGCCTTAACGATCATATCAAATGGAGGTTGGTGGCATTGTGGAGTGAAGCAACGTCAATTCAAGTTAAAGATCCAATTACAAGCTTCTTCCGCAAAGTTTACCAAGTCATGCTCATTGAAGACCTTCATCAAGATTGGGTATATTTAGTATAGGTTTATATTATGTGTGTTTAATACTCTAAGCTTAATATCATATACACACACAATATTGGATTTTCTCACAAAATGAGCTATTTTGAGAAAACTTTGTGATATTATTTTATTGACCATGTTTACTTTATATTCATGTGTTATAATGTTTATGAAGACATTTCATAAAGTTTCAATATGCGTTTAAACTCTTTTTGTCAAAAACATGTTCTTAACAAATTCATATTCATGCATGTTTTTACAAAATAATAAGTTTTCACAATTGAGAAATAAAAATTAAAAATTTATTTTTGTAACATGTTTGTTTTTATGTTTATAAACATTTTGCAAAGTTTTATCAAGTTTGGAATTAATTTGTTATGTTTAATGGAATTTACAAAATCATGTTTTTCATTCGTGCATGTTTTACAAAACAGATGAGTTTTCATAAATGGGAAGTGATATTCAATAAATTCTTTCTTTGAAATGTTTATCTACATGTTTATAAACTTTTTTCAAAATTTTACTATTTTTGGAGTTGATTTACTGTGCCCAATTGATTTTACAAAATCGTGTATGTCTGCAGTTTTTAGAAACTGTAAATCTATGTTCAAACATTTATTTCTCTCAACTGGGAAATTCTTTTTCATAAATTCTTTCTCTAACATGTCATTCTACATGTCTAGAACCTTCCCACAAAATTTCATATTTTTTAGAGCTGTTTTACTATTTTTAATTGATTTTATAAAACTAAAACGCAGTGTTACAGTACCCGCGGTCGACCGGTACGGTCGACCGCCAAACTCTCTGGACGTTACTCAGCTTTGCATATGGCTCACGGTCGACCGTACCGGTCGGCCTTGGGTTTTTGGGCTTGTTTCATGAGCCTATATATACTCCATGCCATCATACTTCTAAGGGCACTCAAGAAATGTTTTAAACAAGTTTAAAGAGTTTTAAACAAGGGTTTAAGTGTGTTTTAGTGTTTGTTTGGTTTGAAGATTGTTTTCACAAGTGGAGGAGATCATCTTATTGTTTGAGCTCCAATCTCCATCTCTCCATCTTATCATCTATTAGAGAAGTTTTCTAAACTCTATCTAGCTTTACATTTGCTTAGTTATTTGATTATCATTCTTTAAAGCTAGTTTTTATATTGAGTTTAGATTTGATTATATTATCTCATTATTACACACACCCACTTGAACTTATTGTATTTGCATACATAGTATATTAGGGTTGTGAGAGATTGTAACATTGAGTTGTGCTTAATTGTGTTCTCATCTATTATAGAGAACGAATTTATATTTGTTACATTGTGAGATTGTAAGGTTTTCAATTAGCTAGAAAACCGAGTGTGTTGTGAAGTTTTCGGTGAACTAGAAAACCGAGTGTAAGGAGTGACGTTGATCGGTGATCGTTGAAAACCGACAATAGTGTGGTTGTAAACATTATTCGGGTGAGCGTAGAAAACCCAGTTGTGATAGTGGATTTCTCCCCGGGAGTGGGGAGCGGAGACGTAGGACGGAAGGTCCGAACTCCGTGATCATATAGTGTGTTTGAGTGTGCTTTGGCGTTCATTTATATTTATGTTCATATCTTATATCGCCATTGTCCATAGCTCATTGTTTATATGATACACTATTTAGTTCATATTGTTTACTCCTTGTGTTAGTTTACATATCCTTGCATATATCATATTGTATATCTTTTTGGTAGGATATATTATCTTATGTTAGTTTATATATCCTTGCATATATATTTTTATCATATAGGATATATCTCTTTGTTGCTCATATTGCTTATCCTAGCTTACATATCTTGTTGTAGTTCATACTTACTAGGATAACTTATTAATTAATTTTAATTAGCATTTAATCAGAGATTAGCATAAGACCCTAATCACCCCCCCTCCCTCTAGGGTCTAACAATTTATTGTTCATCATATGTCATGTGCACGTTATTAGTCGACTGATGACCAATATCAGTCGACCGATGAAAATGGTTGGAAAGCAGAAAGTTTCTGCTCAGTCAACGATGATTGCACGTAGTTATCATAAAATTATTTTCCACATGCAGCAACCTTCACCAAAGATAGTTTGAGCTCAGCTGAAAGCCAAATGAACTTCATGCAGAGTGAAAAAAAACTTCACCATCACCTCGAGAAAAGGTCAAGACGTTATTATGTCTTTTGATCTCGGACATTAGTCCACTTTAGGAGTTCGACTTAAAGCATCTCATGATGCTGACTATGCCTCCTCGATAGAAGCCAAGAATATCCCTCATCCAAATTCCCACAAGAGAATAACACCATCAATGGTGATTCATCTAAATTCGCTAGACAAAAGCCTAGCCAGTTTCGCCGCAAGCGACGTTCATATACTAAGGCTAAAGATAGCGAAATTGGCTCTAAAAAGTGCACTCAATTTGGAACTACTGGTGACCTGAGAGAGTTCTTCACTCTGAAAAAAGCTCCCTAATATTAGCATTGTGCGACCCTCAGAGAAGTGGTCATGGCAATCCAGAGGAATTTTCAATGCAAAGTTATTCCTAAAAAGGGTAAATCCCAAAAATAGCTCAACATTATTTCTCAACGAATTGAGCTCAAGAAGGTTGAAATTACTCAACCTTATACCATCGAATAGGACATAGTTCCCTCTCTGATGAAATTCAAGCCACCAATGTTACATATGTTTGACGGTAAAGGTTCTTCAAATGAATATATCTACTATTTTTTAATAAACCATGAATATAGTGGGTAACGACACTATTAATGCATGACTCTTCATTAGACCCTCTAGAGGGTAACCTTTGATTGGTTACAGAATTTGCCAGAAGGTTCAATCAAATCATGGGCAGACGTAGAATCAAAGTTCCTCTCACAATTCTATGAGGAACAATCTGATGTTACCATAGCCAAACTCCTCTCCGAAAAGAAAAACAAAAATGAGACAATCAAGGGATCCATCTAAAGATATCATAATCTCACATTACGATGTCGAGCTATAATCTGTCAATGTTACTTCAAACTTGTTGGCACAATTTTTTAGGATGGATAGAAGCTCACATAGGTGATGTTACATCCCACACATGGAAGGATTTGATGAAACAAGCTGAGATAGCAGAAAAATCATTTGAACATTTCAATAAATTGGAGCCTCACGCTAACTTCAAAGGCAACAAAGACAAACAGGAGCAGACTTCCCAATCAAAAGCCAAAGAGACTTTCACGGTCGAGGTCCAAAATCCTAGCAACTAGAAAAGGGAACCAAGGAAGAATATTTAGTGTAGTTATTCTTTCAAAGATGAATATGCATTAGCCATCTTCCATGCTCTCAATAAGGTTAATTGGTTAAAGATTCCTGAAGCCCGACTGTAGGTCGTAAAATTTGATCTCAATTTTGTATTGATTGAATTGTTTGTTACAAATTAGAAATCGCTTTTACACAGAAGCATAGAGAATTGATTTGATCTCTCTTTTGTTTAATGTGGGATCTTTTGGGACGATATGATGTCTTCCTTGATGCTTGAGTCGAGTTTACTTCCCGTTGACGATTCAAACAAGGTTGTGAACAAACTTCAACGTGTGGTAGAAATCTTGTCTTTTGAGTTGAAACACCTGAGCTAGAATTTGAAGGCCAAATATACAAGAATGCTAAGTTCGGTTCTCTCAATGCCAAAAAGGTCCTTTTTCTATAGCCATTCATGGCTTTTAATAGAGAGGAATGACCTATAACCACCTCCTAGGAACATGGGAAATGGGTGCAACTACCTCCACAATTCAGGCTGACTTGGTCAAGCAGTTCAGGCGTGCTTGGCATTTAGGTGAAATTGGCAAGCTTGTAGGCAAGGTTGGAGCATGCAGGTGAACCTTGTAAGTTAAGTGTTCAGGTGTGCTTAACTCGTGTAGGCGAAGCTAAGTGTTCAGGCAAACTTAACTTCGCACAAGCCACCCTGGCAAAGCTCAATCAGTTCAGGCGAACTTAACTTCGCACAAGCCACTCTGGCAAACTTGGATCTGTGTGATTAATTTAAGCAAAGCATGCAGGCGAACTTGGATCTGTGTGATTGATTTATGTGAAGCTGTGTTGTCAGTCGAGCTTAGCTTTCCCTGCGGAGTTAGGCATTCAGGCAAACTTGACTTGAATGTTCTAGCGAACAAGCAAACTTAGCCCTGTTCATGCGAGCTTGAATATTTAGGCCAACTCCAGTCTTGCAGGAAGACTTCAGAGTTTCTTTGTTAGGGATAAAGGCAATTTTATTTGCCTACAAAACCCCCTTCAAACTTTTTAGACCTAAATTGGGTTATATGGGGTCTGAAATACTTTGAACTTAGGATTTTTAACAAACCCTCAGCTATAAACGAACTTGATGTGTCTTTACTAATTGCAGTTTGAGTTGGACTAGCCATGCTTTTCCCCTTAGAATGGTAAGTTGTCGAGGAGTTTCTCTTAGGCTTAATACTAAAATTTCTCATCTATCATTAGCCATTCGAGGCGTCGAATTAAGAATTGAATATGATTACAAGGGTTAAGTTGTAATTAAGTTTGGTTGTGCTATTCAGTGTAACAGCTTAACCTGAGGATTTGAAAGAGAGGCTCAATGCATGGTAGGCCTGCTATTTTAGGAAATAGTCATTTGTAGGAATGATTAATGGAATGTGATTATATCATTAACACAATAATGATTTTATATTTGAATAGCGACTCATCGCTTGGTATGCCACTATTTTGGGAACAATGGGGTAGATAGGTGCGCATCACTTGGTAGGCCACTATCAACATATGACATCATTTGTAGGAATGATGGTGTAGAAATAATCAAGACGTTCAGTGACATAGTAGTATAACGACTGTGATTGGAATAGTATGAATGACGGCATGGAAATGATCAAGTCATTTAGTGACATAGAAGTATAACGACTATGACTAGAATTATGACCAGAATAGAGGCACATCGCATGGTAGGTCACTATTTTTGATCGCTCTAAGAAGATAGAACGTTTTGAAGGGATCAGAAAGTAAATTATCGCATGGTAGATTACTATCCTGATCGAATGACAAGTAGGGGTCGTCGCATGGTAGACCACTACTTGACAAAGTGTTTTTAATGGAGGTTGATGGCTATGATTGGAATAGAGGCACATTGCATGGTAGGCTACTATTAATGAACAACGTCATTTGCATGAATGACGATGTGAAAATGTTCAAGTCAGTCAGTGACATGAGATTATAATGATTGTGATTGGAATAGTGGCACATCACATTGTAGGCCACTATCTTCGACCGTTCTAAGAAAATAGAACGTTAAAAAATCAGATAGTGAATCATTGTAAGGTAAATTACTATCCTGGTCGAGTGACAAGTATGGGCTCATCACGTGGTCGACCACTACTTAATGGAGTATTTTTAATAAAGGTTGAAGAATTGACTATCAGAGGTAATTATTAACTGTATGCATAAAATTTGGTTCTCAAAGAAGATTTGTATTAATTGAATTGTGTATTACAAATTGAAAGAAAATAAAAAAAATTACAATAGAAGCAAAGGGAATACCCTTCTTGTTTAACGTGGGTTCTTCGGTAGTGGTAGGACTCCTCCCTCAGTACTCATGCCGAGTTTGCTTCCCTTGGACGATCTGATCAAAATTGCGGTTAGAGCTTCAGTGTGCAACAGAAGCCCTTAGTGTGATCGAGTTCGAGCTTACCCGAGCTTGAAAGATTATCAATGTCGAATGTTTAGAATGAGCTACGATGCAAGAATTTGCAAAGAGCTTAAGAGCCTCTAATCTGAGAATTCAGATTAGTCTACTTTAACAATCCAAGCAAGGTGCTAAGAATGTTTTCACAAGCAAACAAGCCAAGTAAAAAAGCTTTTGTTTGAAGAACTCTTTCCACCAGCTAGCTAGCCTCTCCAAGTTTCTTTTCAAAGAGTCCTGGGAATGAAAATATGCTAAACCCTTGGAAATATTGCCCCCCTCTCTGAACGTTAGCCAAGGAGGCTTATAAATAGGCAAGGGATGGCATGGGCCATCCATTGATTTATGGGATGTGACCACCTATGGGTGAGGAGCCCCTTGCCCTCTCTTAGTTGTGAGATGTGACCACTATAGGGGTGATGAGAGCTATGTCTCATCGTCACCTAGAACGTGGGGGTGGGTAGGCCCAATCTCACAATAGATAAGGGATAGCATGGGCCATCCTTTAATTTGTAGGATGTGACCACCTATGGGTGAGGAGCCCCCTGCCCTCCCTTAGCTATGGGATATGACTACTATTGGGGTGATGAGAGCTATGCCTCATCATCACCTAGAACATGTGAGTGGGTAGGCCCAATCTCACAAACTAGCTGTCGCCTACACTTGATTAGGCGAGGTTGAGCTCTTGCATGTGAGTTAAACAACCAAGTGATCTTGACTCGTGTTGGCGAGTCAAGCAAATAGGTAGGGTTGAGCTCATGTTGGCGAGTTTAATAATCAGGCGAGCTTGACTCGTGCTGGCGAGTCAAGCCAACAGGCAAGATTGAGCTGGCGAGCTCAACAATCAGGCAAGCTTGACTCGTGCTGACGAGTCAAGCAAACAGGCGAGCTCGACTCGTGTTAGCGAGTCAAGCAAACAGGTGAGCTCGACTCGTGCTGGCGAGTCAAGCAGGCGGGTTTTGTCACTTAGGTAATTTTTACTGTCTATAAGACCTCCTTCAAAATTTTCAGACCTAAATCAAATTGAATGTGGTATGGAATACTTTTAATAAAAAGGCTCACTATTCATCTCACTCATGTTTATTGGGTTGAGCTTTTGGGCGAGCTCTATGAAGTGTAGGTGAGTTCGAGTCTTCATGCAAGCTTAAACTATTGGCAGGCGAGCTCCAAATGTGCAGGCGAGCTTTAAATGTCACCAGGTGAGCTTTGTGCTTACAGGCAAGCTGGATGACTATAGGCGAGGTCCAAGTCAGTGAGGGCAAGCCACGTGTCCGCATGTGGGCCTCCGTCGCACGGCAAATCACATTTAATGCGATCTGATGGGGGCACCTCGTCTTCATGCGCATGATCTGGGCCGTTGATTCAGCGGCGCCCTCAATCTCGATCATCATTTTGACGAGCGATTGTGGCTCGAACTACCAAATCTTGGTCGTTTGTTTGGAATTCTAAACGTCCTGTCGTGTTCGTGGTCGTTCGATTCAAACTGCCGAATGGAACCGCTTTAGTTGACCTGAGCCGTTCGTCTCGGCTGAGATAGTGGATCTTGGTCGTGAAATCTCACCTATATAAAATGCCTTCGTCTCCCTCCTCGGGAAACTATTGTTCCATTCGAAATTATCAAGCCTTCGAAGAACTTATCTCTTCTCCGTCTAGCTTTTGCAATGGCCTCAAGGTCTAAAGCTCTCGCTTCCAAGGGGAAGAAGGAAGTTTCTTCCTCCTCCGCCACCACCGCTAACATTGCCACCGTCACCACTGGTGCGGGCCGAACACACCATGGTAAGTCCATAACTGGCGAACTAAAAAATGAAGAAGACGAATAGACTCATGTTCATCTTCTAGTGAGCTTCGCCCACTTAGACGAGGCTCTGCTATTCTGGCGAGATTGCCTATCAGAGCGAGCTCTGCTTTGGTTAGGCAAGCTTTTACCTTTGTCAGGCGAGCTCAGCTTGACTAGGCGAGCTCTGCTTGATAGGTGAGCTTTGCTTCAATTGGCGAGCTTCTGCTTACAAGGTGAGCTTCTATCTTCTGGAGAGCTCTGCTTTGATCGAAGAGCTTTGTGTGATAGGCAAGCTTTTTCAACTCACCTACATAATGCAGGCCACCTATTCTCAAGGCTTAGAAAACTTTTGACCTTTTGAGTCAAAGTTTCTAATTTCCTCTTATTGTATTTTGCTGCTCAAGAGGAGGCATCGACTGTTATGCCTCACAACCTAAGATCCTCTGGGAAGAGACCCCTTTTCAGAGAGGAAGCAGATCGATATGAAGAGATCGCTCACAAGAGGAGGCTAACGAGATCAAAGTCTGAGTCCATTCTAATATCCAACAGCGAGGAGGAAGAACCCGCTCCTGCTTCTGTTGATGACTGACTCTTCTGCTAATCTAGTCTATCACTATGATCTCCCCTGATCAGGCATCTGCTTTTCTAGACTCCGACTTTGTTCAACGCCTCCTCCAAAGGTTGGAGAATGCTATGAAATAGGCAGCCTCCATCATTAGCCTTAGGTGGGGAAAATTTTATGACCTGCTCCCCTTTGTAGCAGATAGCCTTAAGGACGTCCAGTG